CGACCTAGGGCAGCCCATAGCCGTCGCGCGTCCAGACGGGGTCCCTCCCGGGCGTGTGGGGTTTCGGGTCCTCAAAAGCACCCGCCGGATTGCCTGCGTACCGTGCTTTCGGTCGGGTCTCCTTCGACGTGAGCTGCGGTGCATCACCCCCGACGTCGAGGATACACGGTGACGTGTTCGTGTGCGAACAGTAATTGAAAGCGACAGTTCTGATTTCCGACCCTCCCAATCCAATCCACAATAAACCTCTCCCTCCAAAAATCCATCCATCCATCTTTCCCCTGTGTCCGGCACCGCCACCCTCGCCGCACGGCGCCTCTCCCGCCGCCTCCTCCTCCGCCGCCGCGCCTATTTAACCACCTCACTCGCTCTCCCGCCGGCCCAACTGCAAGCTCCGCCATGCACGCCCACGCCCCCCACGCCCTCGGGCTCCGCGTCCCTCCTCCCGCGTTCCCCCGCCACCGCGCTCGCCCGCGCCGGCGCCCCGCCGCGGCCGTCCGCGCCACCTCGGCGGCGCCGCAGAGAGAGACGGACCCCAGGAAGCGGGTGGTGATCACGGGGATGGGGCTGGCGTCGGTGTTCGGGAACGACGTGGACACATTCTACGACCGGCTCCTGGCCGGGGAGAGCGGCGTCGGGCCCATCGACCGGTTCGACGCCAGCAGTTTCCCCACGAGGTTCGCCGGGCAGATACGGGGGTTCTCGTCGGAGGGGTACATCGACGGCAAGAACGACCGGAGGCTTGACGACTGCATCCGATACTGCATCCTCAGCGGCAAGAAGGCGCTCGAGAGCGCCGGGATCGGCGCAGGCTCCGACGCGCACGGCAAGGTGAGTGAGACGGAGAGCGGGGCGCACCCTTGCCTCCGACTGAACTGAGCTCTCTGTTTTATGTGGACATTGCAGAAATAGTAGACTCTTGAGTTGAAATCATTTCCAGTTGTTTTCCTTTGGCTTAGTGGAAACTTTTGTAGAAAATGTTTGACTTGGTTATGTTATGTTTGGCATCAATTTTTATCTCCCTGAAAGCCCTTCTTCGTGCAACATACGAGTGTAGATTTCACTTCAAGACAAGCTTTGATTCATTTTCAATGTAGGTTGTGATTGTGTTACATGTGTGTGACTGGCTGATGACTGTAAATCAGTATGAACAGTTTATTTCTGTATGATTTATCTTCTATCTGAATCAGTTAGAACGATGAATGGACTGAAAATTCAGTGATCACTATTCAAAATACTTGGGTATTAAACTTGAGTGCTCAAATCAAAATGCCCTAACAGTGGCAACGTCATTGGTTGTCAATAGGAAAAAAGGTCTAATTGGATTTAGTTTTGAGAAAAAAGTATGGCTTCTTTTTGGGCAGTTTTACACTCTATAGGTTTGTTAGAAATGGCTATACATATTTGTAGCTTGATATTTGTTGAAGAAAATACAGGTTTATCTTGTTGTTTGTGAGATGATCTCATAGTTTCTTTCAAAAGGAAATTTTGATGGCTTGGGAATGAAAGAAAACCGAGATAGATAAATTTGTGTTTCTTGGTGTAAACTATTGGTCACAGATTTTATATGATCCGAACCTGCTCTGCGTATAAGCTCCTGAATCACTGCAGATGGTTTGCGCCCTAAAATCCCTGTGAACTTGTGTGAGTTCAACTTCAATAAACTCCGTCTGACGCATGTTTGTAGATAGCATAGCACTTGTCTGAAATCATAATCATCTGTTGGTTGCAACAACAGATCATGCAAAAAAGTTAGAGGTGAATCCCTGAATTTATTTGATGGTCCCTTATGCAGTTGGTTAAGTTGGTTGCTTCTTCTGCCCGATAGGCTGTCAATAGGTGGCTAGTCTACCATCATTTCCATTCTGCCATAAATTCCACATGTTCTCTAGGTTTCTGTTGGTTCATTTTTTATCTCGTCTTTTGGAATGTCTCTTTCGCTAATGACTTCATTGTTAACAGCTTGATGTGGGGCGGGCTGGTATTCTTGTGGGTTCTGGCATGGGTGGCCTTTCAGTATTCTCCGATGGTGTTCAGAATCTTATCGAGAAGGGATACAGAAAAATTTCACCTTTCTTTATCCCGTATGCTATAACTAACATGGGTTCAGCCTTGCTTGCCATGGATGTTGGTTTCATGGGCCCCAACTACTCAATTTCAACTGCGTGTGCAACCTCCAACTACTGCTTTTATGCTGCCGCAAACCATATTCGTCGTGGTGAGGCTGATATCATCGTCGCTGGTGGAACTGAAGCTGCCATCATTCCAATCGGCCTTGGAGGTTTTGTAGCATGTAGAGCACTATCACAAAGGAACGATGACCCAATAACTGCATCTAGGCCATGGGATAAAGAGCGAGATGGCTTTGTTATGGGTGAAGGTGCCGGTGTACTGGTATGGTCGATTAACAAAAAGAATATCATGTTTTTAAATATTTTTATGTACTTTAGAATTATTTTAGCTGTCTGCGTTCCTTTTTTTGTGTTTGTTGTTTGCTTCAGGTTGTTACATTTATTCTCAGTTCGCCACCATGAACTTCAGTCATCAATTAGATCCTATTGCTATTAGCGACATGTAACACTTAAACGGTGAAACTCTTGTTCGACAATAGGTTATGGAGAGCCTGGAGCACGCAATGAAGCGTGATGCACCAATAATTGCTGAATACTTGGGAGGTGCAGTCAACTGTGATGCTTACCATATGACTGATCCTCGATCAGATGGACTGGGTGTATCATCCTGTATTACAATGAGCCTCAGAGATGCAGGTGTTGCACCAGAGGAGGTATATCTTGAATCAACGTCCCAGCCATTTTTTGTACAGATGCAGTTTTTTTTACTTCCTAGCACGTGTCTAATATCAGAAGTCAAAATATTGGTGTGACAGTTACGTACGCTGAAAATTCATTTGTTTATAAGCTTAGTGTTCCCCTGCTTAGCTGCAGTTTTAGGTTCATACTCTTTTCTCTAATGCAGCCAGTCAGCAGATTTTGATTCCATTTGATGTATTTTTAGGTGAACTACATCAATGCACACGCAACTTCGACACTTGCTGGTGACTTGGCTGAAGTAAGAGCCATTAAGCAAGTCTTCAAGAATCCATCTGAGATCAAGATCAATTCTACAAAGGTTCGCTCGCTCGCTTCCATGTCATTTCGTAATTGTTCTCTTATCTGATGTCACTTCCTTGCCTGCCAGTCCATGATAGGCCATTGCCTGGGTGCAGCAGGTGGGTTAGAAGCTATCGCCACTATCAAGTCCATAACTACTGGATGGGTGCATCCTACCGTTAACCAATTTGTAAGTTAGTCATTATCCTGTCCAAATCTCCTGCTGGTTCATCTGATGGTTCATATATATATGCTGGCGAGTGTTTAACCTTCTATTTACCTGCTTTGAGTTACCTTGTAAAGGCTGGCTTGTTGTAAGTGTATATCTGTTAAATTCCAGTATCTATCAGAGTAGCATTCCGTGCTAAGAGTAAGATGGAAGACAAGCTGAGCTCATTTTGCAAAATTCCTGGTTTTCTCGTTGTCACACACCGTCAGAGTTTCTCATGTTTGAGTCATTTCTCTTTTGTAGAACCCAGAGCCTGAAGTTGATTTTGATACAGTAGCTAACGAAAAGAAGCAGCATGAAGTGAATGTTGGTGAGTTCCTCCCCCAGTCCCACCCCCCTTCTCTTGAAAGATGCTCATCATGAATGATAGCCAAATGCTCAGCAGAATAGCTCACATAGAATCTACCATCCCTTCGCGAGTGCTTACAATTATCGTCGCCAGCATCTCTATCTTTACGCGTGTTTGGTCTCTTGTAAATGCAGCTATTTCTAACTCATTTGGATTTGGAGGGCACAATTCGGTGGTGGTATTCGCGCCATTCAAGCCGTGATTCGCCATCACTTCAGAGATATAGAATCCGCGGCATCCTCTTGATTAGATGTTAGCCTGCTTGAATTTACCGGCTTTGTGTAGCAAGTTTTGATGATTGGTAGAGTGGTGCTGCCTTGACCCTGACACTGTTGTTTATATGATCATTCTTTCGGGCGCTCCTCGTGTGTACCATGTTGTGGAAAACCTGGAATAGTGTAAAGGATCATTCATCAGTATTATAATTTGATACGTAGCTCATTTGGATGTTCTTCCTCCTCCCTTTCCTGTACAAGTGCTGTTGTAGACAGTTTTTCGATTAATGGTCTACTAGCAGTCTGCCGGCTGATCTTTTTAAAAGATCGGCCGGCTCACGAGCCGTCAGAGTGGCGCATCGAGCGGCTGAGCGGTACCCTCCATCATTGCAACACAGGTCTTGTTGCAGATTTAGTTTTTTTTACAATTAAGGTCTTGTTGTTTAAATTTTTTCGCAACAGAAGTTTGTTACAATTATTTTTTGTCTTCATCTTTTTGCAACATATGATGTTGCAGAAAAAATTAAGGGGAACGGTAAGATGCCAGAGACGCACGACACACGAAACACACATCACATGAGACACGTGTCATACACGATGGGTCGGCGGACGGGGGCCGAGAAATCAGTCGGTTGAGGGGAATCGTTTTCCTTACTGCTACATGTCACTGAAGCGGTTTTTTGTTGTTGACGTCGCCAGTCACTAAAACAGTTTTGTTTTTACTAGTTAAAAAAATGATAATGATCAGATTAACCCGCCCTTGATGAGCTTGCCATTACGTGCACACCTCGACCACAGCGACGCAGCACCACTCTCAATACCTGCTACACCAAGTCAAGGATGAATGAATGAATAAACCAACGTGTCAACATCCTGAGCGGAGCAAACGAGGCCACTGCAATCTGAGAGGATTTTAGGCACATGAAACAGATCAAGGGCACCTTTTGTGATATGATCTGCAGAGCAGCAGAAGAAACGTGACGCTAACGCCGAGACTCGGCCTTCCTTCCTTCTAATTCCACCATTCCACGCAGCGACGTACCAAACGAAAGCCCACTCGCTCGCTCCCATCCCCCTCGTGCTCTCGACACGACACGATGGCCGCGGCCGCGCCCTCGCCCTCCCGCAACCGTCCCGAGGGACCTCCCTCGGAGGAGGAGGCGGCGAGGGACTGGGCGGGGCTGCCGTGGGACGCGCTGCTGGCCGTGCTCCACAGGCTGGACCACGTCGACGTCCTCATGGGCGCCGGCCTGGTGTGCAGCCCCTGGCGCTGCGCGGCGCGGAACGAGCCGGAGCTGTGGCGCCGCGTCGAGGTGCGCTCCCACGCCGACCGCCCCACTCACGTCGCAGCGCCCTCCCGCGCCAGACGCCACTCCTCCGCCGTCCTCTGTGGGCTGGCGCGCGCCGCCGTGAAGCGCGCCGCGGGGCAGTGCGAGGCCTTCTGCGGCGAGGGCGCTGTGGACGACAGCGTCCTCTCCCTCCTCGCCGACGTGTGAGTTTTCGTTTCTTCTCACCCCAATATGCTAGCTGACCAGTGTGCTTCAATTTCGTAGTACCAACCCTTCTATGATGTGTTCATTACAGGGCGCCTTCGCTGAAGAGCCTCCGGATCATCTCCGGCGACAGGATCGTCGACGAGAGGCTCAGGCTCACCATCACGAACTTCGCCCTTCTGGAGGAGCTGGAGCTCTCGCTTTGCACCGACGTCTACCCAGGGACGTGCGAGGCCGTCGGCAGCGCCTGCCCTCTCCTCAAGCGCTTCCGTCTGAGCAAGAATCAGTTCTGCAAGTGGAACACCAAGAACATCGACCAGGAGGCCATGGCCATCGCCACCATGGGCGGGCTGCGGTCGCTTCAGCTCTTCGCCAACCCTCTCAGCGACGACGGGCTGGCGGCCATCCTTGACGGATGCCCGCGCCTCGAATCTCTCGACATCCGCCACTGCTTCAACGTTGGGATGGGCGCTGCTGCGATCCGAGCACGGTGTCCTGGGATCGAGACGCTGAGGCTCCCGGGTGACTCGACGATGGATTACGATCTGAAGTTCTCTCACCCGGATATGACCCCGTGGAACACCCAGGACGAGCATCACTGTGATTGGCACGAGTTGGTCTATTTCAGTTCATGGTAGTCTGGTGTACTGGTGTGCAGCTACCCCACAAGATACCGCTGCTGTAAGTAGGAGTACAACCAATGAACCAAATGGATGGGTTAATAATGGCAATGATACTTTTTTTTGGTTCGTTGATTTTGCCGACATGCTCATACGCCATTTTCACCCCTCTCCACGATAAGGAAAAGACTGGTTTATATTCTTTAGTTAACTTTTTTTTTTTGAAAAGGAGGTTATCCCCCGCCTTTGCATCAAAACGATGCATACGGCCATATTATTGATAAGCAAAAGGTTTAACAAAGTCTTGAGGTCTCATAAGGGAAAAAATGCTCACATAGAGCAAAAACACAAAAGAACGGGATAGCCACAACCGACAGGCAAAAAGAATATTATTTAGTTTATGTACCTTGTCAATTTTTCTACTTCACTTTTTTTTAAATAAAAAGGATGACTCCCCCAATTTCATTAACAAAACTAGCGTCAACTACAACCAAAAACCCAAAACACACCACCACCAGGTCCACGCGATCACCATCATCCCCTCCAATGGGAAAATCAAAAAAGAACATGGAGAAACCTGGCTGAAACATAGCCCAGGTGGAGAAGAAAGGAAAAAAGACCAGGGGCATCTCGTATCACACCTAGGAAGAGTTTTCCAACACACACATCCAGCAATTTTTTGTCAAAATTGCGGACTCCTGAACCCCAACATCAGCTAACCCAAGCCACTCTTTTTTTCACACGACAAGACCGCGATACTTGTCGATGATCAACCTCCTTCCAGTCTTGGAGTTCACGACGCCCAGCTTCACCTCACTTGGTGGATCTCAGTAGCAACTCGCTCCAGAAGTTTTGCACACCGCTACAACCCAGTTTTGCGTCCTCCCTCCCCTGCAAGCCACTCCAATCATTAATCCAAAATGAAACTCTGAACAGAACCTCACTTGGTTCGACAGCCATTTTTTTAAATAAGCAAGGTTACGAGCTTTCCAAATGCTCCAAATAACTGCAGCAACACCAATAGAAAAAAGTTTCTTTTTCACATAACCCGGGTTTTTCGGCCACACATTGAAACAAGCATTAGTATCATAGAAATCACATTGAACCCCTAGGCTACAACTAACTATATTCCAAATGTACCTTGCCAGGGGGCACTAGAAAAAGAGAGGATCGATCGATTCATTCTTGCCACAGAAGGGACATTCAGCCTTACATCCCCCCTGCCCCCATGCTGCAGCAAGACATCTCTAGTCAAAATGCTATGTTTCAAAACAAGCCAGAGGAAATTATTAATTATAGCGAAGATTTTGGTCTTCCAAAGAAACTTGACAAAGGCTTTAGAGCCCACTTGCATTGTAGTGTAAAATGACTTACACTATACTCCCGAGAGCCAGATAGCACCCAGGTGAGTTTGTCCTCAGAATCAAAGGAAGCATGACTGCATAAATCTACAAGTTTGGCCCAATGTTCTTCTTTTCCCCCAACCAAAGCTCTTCTAAAGCTTAAAGAAGTGGGATTACAAGACAGAGCATCATGCACCATTATATGGTGGTTCTGTGAAATATTATATAGTCTCGGGAAAGTTAGAGCAAACTTTCTCCCCCTAGCCATCTATCTTCCTAGAACCTGGTTTTCTTGCCACCCCCACACATAACTTGCAGCAAGACAAGAAGAGGTCTTTAATTTTTAACAATCCTTGCCAAAAATGAGAGCCCCCCTGTTTCAACTGGATTTTCCCTAAATTTGAGCTACCTATATATTTATCCCACACCATCTTTTGCCACGACCCTTCCTCATTAAACAGTTTCCAAGGCCATTTTGCTAACAAAGCAATATTCATTAATTCCAAGTCCAAAAAACCCAAACCACCTAGCTCTTTTGGTAGGCAAACTGTATGCCAAGGCACCAGGTGATATTTATGTTTATCCTTTTCCCCACTCCACATAAAACTAGCTCTAGGCCTATCATATTTCTTTTTTATCCCATTTGGGAGACCGTAAAAGGATAACACAAATAAAGGCAAGCGAGATAGAGAGTTGATTAGAGTGGTTCTCCCAGCAATATTGAGGAGCCTACACAGCCATCCCCCATCCCTTTTTCCATCCTTCCAATGGATGGGTTCCAATCGCTATTTCTCAACCTCTTCTCATCAACAGGAATCCCTAAATATGTAATGGGAAAAGAACCTATCCCACATGTAAAAACTTCCTTAAACAACTTAATTCTATACTCCTCCATCCCCGAACAAACAACCTCACTTTTGTGAAAATTAATTTTTAAACCATACATAATTTCAAACATTACATTTTTTAGGTTCCTAGCTTGCTCTAGATCATCCTAAAAGAGTTAGATGGTATCGTCGGCAAAATGTAAAATAGCCACACCTCCTTGAGTCTGACCTTTGGCTAAACCAGACACTAAACCTTGATCCACAGGTCTTCCAACCAAGACAGCTAACACATCTACCACAAGGTCAAAAAACAAGGCGGGCAGGGGATCACCATGCCTAAGCCCGTGATGAGTTTTATAATAAGGACAAATTTCACCGTTAACTTTAACAACAACATTACCAACATAAATGATTTTCATAATCCAATCATTTCATTTATCAGAGAATTTTTTTGATCTTCAAAGTTTCAAGAAGAAAAGGCCACTTGACCTTATCAAAGGCCTTTCTAAAATTAATCTTGAAGAGAACCCCTGAAGATTTTGTTTTATGTAAAGAGCTGAGGAATTCATGAAGAACAATAACAACCTCCAATATATATCTACCTTTAAGAAAGGCAGTCTGGGAGGCTCTAACCACTCCTTTAGTAATAGTAATCAATCTATTCACCGAGATATTGGTGAAATCTTAAAGGGGACATTCAACAAACAGATGGGCCTATATTTTTGAATTCTATCATTATCACTTCCTTTTGGTAGAAGAGAAATCACACCATAATTGAGATGTTCTATATCTAGGTTATTACCATATAATTCTTTCAAAATGGCAAGTAGATCCATAATGTTCGTAGTATTCTATGTTAAAGGCATTAGGACCAGCAACCTTGTTTTCTTCCATTACAAAATAACATCTTTGAGTTTTTCAAGGGATTTTTTATGTGAAACTTGTATTTCCTCACTCAAAACATCTACCCCTCACGATCCAAGGTTAAGGATGTTATCTCGTGCTCACCAAAGAGGTTTCTATAATGCCCAGCGATGTAGCCTTTGAGATTATCTTGGCCTTCAATGACCCCCTTCATCCAACACCAATTTAATGATCCTATTTTTCATATGCCTACCATTTACTTTAGCTGAAGGAAATATGCCCTAGAGGCAATAATAAAGTTATTATTTATTTCCTTATTTCATGATAAATGTTTATTATTCATGCTAGAATTGTATTAACCGGAAATGTAATACATGTGTGAATACATAGACAAACATAGTGTCACTAGTATGCCTTTACTTGACTAGCTCGTTTATCAAAGATGGTTATGTTTCCTAGCCATGGACAAAAGAGTTTTCATTTGATTAATGGGATCACATCATTAGGAGAATAATGTGATTGACATGACCCATTCCATTAGCCTAGCACTTGATCGTTTAGTATGTTGCTATTGCTTTCTTCATGACTTATACATGTTCCTGTAACTATGAGAATTATGCAACTCCCGTTTACCGGAGGAACACTTTGGGTACTACCAAACGTCACAACGTAACTGGGTGATTATAAAGGAGTACTACAGGTGTCTCCGAAGGTACATGTTGAGTTGGCGTATTTCGAGATTAGGTTTTGTCACTCCGATTGTCGGAGAGGTATCTCTGGGCCCTCTCGGTAATGCACATCTTTATAAGCCTTGCAAGCAATGTGACCAAATGAGTTGGTTACGGAATGATGCATTACGGAACGAGTAAAGAGACTTGCCGGTAACGAGATTGAACTAGGTATTGGATACCGACGATAAAATCTCGGGCAAGTAACATACCGATGACAAAGGGAACAACGTATGTCGTTATGCGGTTTGACCGATAAAGATCTTCGTAGAATATGTAGGAACCAATATGGGCATCCAGGTTCCGCTATTGGTTATTGACCGAGAATAGTTCTAGGTCATGTCTACATAGTTCTCGAACCCGTAGGGTCCGCACGCTTAAGGTTACGATGACAGTTATATTATGAGTTTATGAGTTTTGATGTACCGAAGGAGTTCGGAGTCCCGGATGAGATCGAGGACATGACGAGGAGTCTCGAAATGGTCGAGACGTAAAGATCGATATATTGGACGACTATATTCGGAGTTCGGAAAGGTTCCGAGTGATTCAGGTATTTTTCGGAGTACCGGAGAGTTACGGGAATTCGCCGGGAGAAGTATTGGGCCTTATTGGGCCATACGGGAAAGAGAGAGGGACTTCCTAGGGCAGGCCGCGCGCCCCCCCAAGACCTAGTCCGAATTGGACTAGGGGGAGGGGCCGCACCCCCTCCTTCCTTCCCTTCTCTCTTCCCTTTCCTTCTCTCCTACTCCTACTACATGGAAGGTCTCCTAGTTGGACTAGGAAAGGAGGGAGTCCTACTCCCGGTGGGAGTAGGACTCCTCCTTGGCGCGCCCTCCCTTGGCCGGCCGCCCCCTTCCCCTTGCTCCTTTATATACGGGGCAGGGGGGCACCCCATAACACACAAGTTGATCTACGGATCGTTCCTTAGCCGTGTGCGGTGCCCCCCTCCACCATATTCCACCTCGGTCATATCGTCGCGGAGTTTAGGCGAAGCCCTGCGCCGGTAGAGCATCATCATTGTCACCACGCCGTCGTGCTGACAGAACTCATCCCCGACACTTTGCTGGATCGGAGTCCGGGGATCGTCATCGAGCTGAACATGTGCTGAACTCGGAGGTGCCGTACGTTCGGTACTTGGATCGGTCGGATCGTGAAGACGTACGACTACATCAACCGCGTTGTTATAACGCTTCCGCTTACGGTCTACGAGGGTACGTGGACAACACTCTCCCCTCTCGTTGCTATGCCATCACCAT